AATCGAAGACAGAACGATCGTTCAACAAGATAAGAGCGATGAATTTCGATTTATTTTAACACTCACTACATTAAATGAAATACTCATTTTTTGCCACAACAACAGCAACCAAAAGCTGGATGCAACATAAGTAAATGGCGGCAAATTTAAATCGTAGTCATTAATGTCATATGTACGAAGATGAAGCTTGTACAATAGATTGGCTGCCTTTATACTCTATCTCAGCCATAGGTACAGGTCAAAACGTAGACGTCAGATCCTGGATTTAATTCAGCGAATGAATTAACCACGCTGGATTGCACATGTAAGAGAACAAATCGTACCGATGTGTAGGTACCTGTCGCATTGATAATAAATCGGATGTAACGTCTGCCAATAGAATGCATGAAAAATTTGAAGATAAATTAGCGATGTTTCGATCATTAATGAGCGTCTGGCTCCACTTGAGCACGTGAAGACGGCAAATGAAAGTATCGGATTGGAAATTGTAATGCTCAAGATGGAGCAATAAATAATATAAATAATTGCGAACGGCTCATTACAAGAAAAAAAAATAAAAGGACAATTGCTTTGTCACACTGTGGTGCGAAACAATGTTATATTTAAATAATATAATTCCATGTATTGTTTATTTAAATTCAAATGAAATGAATGAAAAGTTCAGCCTAGGTATAATGCACTTGAATTTTTTAATTAATACGAATTTCTTGAAACGGTTAATCTGAGGGCTGCGATCAAAATTGGCCACATCGACATGGAGCAAGAGGGGCTTAGTGGGCTGACAGACCATTAGATAATGAAGTGACGCACAGGGACAGCCCACGCTCATCACTCTACCTGCCGACACACGCGAAATAATGAAAAGAATTAACACGTCATGTGACTTTATATTCGATGATCGGGTCACAATGTACGGTCATCTCAGTTAAGTCAATGCCTCAATGACCTTAAACTCATTTCGAATTCAATGCAGCGCGGACCAACGTGTGATGTTGCCACTGAATCAAAGGAACGCTGGTTCAATATTTTGAATTGAATTGAAACAATTCATATTCATATCATTCATTATAATTAATCGGCCAAGATTATCTTAGTTTGAAAATAATTTAATTATGTGGTGATGGGGGCTGTCTCTCTCTAACTTCAATATGACTCTCAACATCGAGGCATCCAGTCAGCATTTGGCAATTCACATGCACGATTAATAGTCAAATTGTAACCGCATGAAATATTTCAATATATATTAGTACAGTACATGCTCGTATGTATATGAGCGCGAGTGTATTGCATACGACAGCAACTAATTTCATCTAATTATATACGCTCGACATCCAATGAAGCCATGGTTTTTATAAGATATTTTGATAGATCTTGAAAAATTGACTATATTAGAATGGCGATGACTATATTATACGGTGTTAAAAGCATTAGAAACGTCCGTATTACTTTTAGGCCGACTATGGAGTAGAAGTTTTCTTGTATTCGCGAAGTCGTTTATTAGTTGTCTGTCAGCTGATGTATATGCATGAACCCCCAGTAATTTGGTAAGATTTGCTTCATTAGTTTAAGGATTAGCTAAAACTGTGAATATTGTCACTATATTTAGATTTGTCGATTTATTTCTTATGCTAAGTTTTGTACTGATTTCAGAAACCGGTCAAAAATCACCTACGAAATCCGTGTATTCATTACTGTCCTCTACGACCTTAAAGACCTACAAGGAGAGTCTTTACATACGGGTCCGATCGACAGTCAAAGACAATGACGGTTTAAAACTTTGCTCCGGAAAAAGCTATAAGGTTCAGAGAAATTAATCGTTCTAACCTTCTAAGAACGTTTTGAAAGAATAGGTGAACATCAATCGTTTGTTGGCAAAAACCGGTTACCGAAGGACGTAAACTAAACCGGTTCGGGCATCAACTCTAGCCTTTACACTCGATTGAACTTGGTAACAAATCGGCAATTCTAAACAAGAAGCCATTAGGATAAATATTGCTTAGAATAATATAATCTCTTATGAGAGATATAATCGGTATGGAATGCAGCTTAATTTGTACTGTAAAATACGTCGGAGAACGGATAACTTCAAGCGAAGTAGCCCATAATTTAATAAATAGATTGCTTTCCCGATACAATGACTGAAGTTTCGTCGAGTAGATACAATTTTTAGAAATATATAAGAAATCTATTAGTATGAGGGACATGTTTTCACGTTAAATCAAAACAATTTTGAGATGAATACTTACATTTGTAACCAATTTCGAAACAAGATACAGTTACGCTGTTATTAGCGAATGGTCTAGGATGTAAAAATTGAACATGAAGAATGAAAATTCACGACATAAATGTTTATGTCACTCAAGGTTCTATTGTTCATCAAAAATCGCGCGCTGACAATCGGCACAATCAGCTGAATGGGACAATAAAAACGCTTACATTTTGATTAAACAACAAAGAGTTATACAGCAAAATATATACGGTATTTGCTTGTGATATTTCAATTATGATGATTTTAGTTCAGTCTTACGATGTCAAAATAGATTATAAGAATTGTTATTATATCTTATATTATCAAAAATATGTCCAACAACATATACTCTGGGACTTTGATTTGTCCATACCAAGAACGCTACGACAATTTTCCATTATTTGTGAAATCAGCAAAAAATTTTCATTTTCGGGAAATGGTCCTAATGCCCGAATTCATTTCTATTAGAATCACTGTAGTCTAGTGAATGAAAACATTACCTATCTTTTCATTCACATTAGTGAATGAAACCATTATCTTAGGATGTTATCTTTAACGTCCATCAACTGGCTATGTGCGTTCATATCTATAGTTGGCTGAGAGCTCGCGTTATTGAGGATATGAGCACTTTAAAACGTGGCTCTAAATTAAAATAATGCATGCTTGAAAACATGACTGAGAATTATATTAAAGTGCCACGACCTCACGGTTGTATTAATTCACGCTTAAGAAAATATTTTTGACCATTAATAGGCATTATAGCCAATAGCCAAACATTACCGATTTGTTTGTCCGGGGAATGAGGGAAACATTTAAGAATGGGAATAACTATAAAGTATTTGAGTAAGCCTCGTTTCTTATCTAGGCCCACCGACATGGTTATATCTTATCAGCAGCAGCAGCAGCTAAGCCAATCTTATGATAGAAGCATTCATCATCCTAAGACGCACAATTCCATAAAATACTCATCGAGATTTTCGAAGCATTCAACGCGTTGCAATGCTCACGCCAAACTACCAAATTAGAGCTGTACAATTTTCACTTTTATCTTCACCTAAATGATTTTTGTTCACTTTACAGAGAACGATTTTCTGTGGTGTTCACATCCATTTTATCTGTGCCCTGTCGGAAAATAAAATGATCAATTAATTAATTGATTGATGACGTAATTATTTTTTCCCCTGACCGCATAACAAACGTTTTCACAAAAAAATCGAAACTAATATTCTCGAAGTAATGTTTATGTTACAAACTTTAGCGTTTACTCCTCGTCAGCAAATTATTGTCCAAAAGTCCGTAAATTGGCATTCTGAGTTTACCGTCCCAACAGAAATAAATAAATTAACTTATTTCTTGATTTCATACTGAATAACAATCTAAATAATCTTTCCCGATAATTAAAAAAAACATTATCATTCGAATAATTTCAGTCATATTAACTGAAATTTACAAATACGTTATGCAGAAACCAAGTTAGAAGAAAATATCGACGTGGCATGATGAATATACAGCTTAACAACTCGTCGTTCCGTCGTTCAAAACTGAGAAGCGGATTCAACACAACGAGCGTTGATCAACCCATGGTTGAATTAATACAAAAATTGTTCTCGGCAGCTTCAGTAACTTTCGGAGAGAGTTTGGAAAAAACGGGGTTATTGGCAGGTGGTTACAACAAAAATACTGAATGTTAAATCCGCAAGTAAGATTACACAAACGAAGAAGAAAATAAAAATTTCAATTGTCCGGAACGACAGGTAATCTTAAAAAATTGTTCTTGTTCATTTATTATATATAGAAATGGGTACACGGTGAAAGCAAATTCAATCTATAATTGTCGTTAGGTAACAACAGGCCAGGTTGTCAGTGACTATAGTCACAGACTTAAGCACGAGAATCGCCTAAGCACACGTTCATTGCTCGCATTCGTAGGCAGTGGCCATACGTATTCGTATTAGACACACACCAACATAACTTATCACAGTAAGCTTTGTGGTTTACTTCAGCATTGCCAATTCTTCTACGAAAATCCATAGTAGGCGTTCAACTGCGTTCAAAGTTCAAACATCAACATAATATGGCAATCTATCAACATATGTACTGCAATCTATGCAGTACATAAACAACAAGCCTATGTTCAAGTCACCTATCGTTCAAGTGAGTCAGGAATTGTGGCAGGCAAGGACTCCAGACTGTAACGTCATCAGCTCAGCCGGCACACCTGAGAAGCAATGATGCATCATCAATTTCATCACTACACTGGAGTGACTGGACTGGAGCAATCCGGGCACAGAATCAACGGCTCTATGAGGTGGCGGGCGGTACATGCATCAGGCATCGGCTGGCGTTGTGTGCGCATACCAATGTTGTGATAAAATGCTGCTTTCAAGTTGTCACATTCATGGGCTCATGGCCTAGTATGGCTTCCATTACATAACAATAACAATCGATTAATATTTGAGTCACAACGCTAGTTACTCTACCAGAGGTCACATTGAGGCCTGCCTAACATTTTCTATAAGATAAAGAGAGAAAGATTATAATGTGCCATGAAATTGTAACAAAACGGCACCGTAAAGATATGGCAAAGTCGATTTAAATTACTAATTTGGCAATTATTCAGTTGATGTAAGAGTTGAAGTGTAGAGCTTTCCCACTTTTCTACAACCGAGAATCATTCAAACATTGTCATATTAATTAATTTATTACAAACGCATATTAAATTAAGTAAACTTCTACCGCTTTGTGCGCTTACCAAAGAAGGCAGTTGTCAACTCTCTCTGCGATGAAGTTTCAACTAACGTTTTCCTACTATGAGTATGAGGTAACAACTTAACAAGTGATTCCACACACTAGAGATACAGTATGATAGATTTAAAACATTAATTCAGTACATTTTTTAGATATAATTGTAAACTTAAAGACGTCATCTATGTTCATTCCTACAAACAGCACATTCCAGGAAAGATCTCACACATCTGGGCGACATAACTGCACTAACACAACCTCACAATGCGGTGGCACGCATGACACTGAATGAGAATGAGTACAAAGTTACGAACACTCACCTTTCGCAGACCTCATAGTAAAGTGCCGGAATTTTTGACGCCTTAATCTGTCGGAACAGAATCTGTTATATAGTCCATAAACTGAGGCTACCTTTTATCTTTTCCAACCTCTTGATGATGCTTATGTCAGCTGCCCGAATTCAGTGTATTTATACTCTTTTCACTGTCTTGAATCTAGCGTGAAGCGCAGGTATGTTAGAAAGACATTTAGTTTCTACACCCTTTTTACTCAAGGTAAGGGACTATTAGGTGTATTTAGCCACTGGAAAACACAAAAAATTGCTTGAAGGTACATTGTTGATAGATGTTAAGTTATGATATGCCTAATATTATAATATATAATCAATAGTATTTATTAACATGACATATAAAAGTTATACTATGATATTCGGTATGAGAAATTCAAATTTGGACAACAAAATCTGTCAATCGCATACTCATCTCATGTAAAAGTGGATTATGGCTTCGTTTTTACAACACTTCTCTTTAACTTCACTTCTTGTTGTTTGTTTGTCTGCCACAAATCTTATAATCAAAATTTAACACACTTCTACTTATCCTATCGATCTGAAATTTTGCGCACTTGCGTAAAGTTGGAGACAATGCCTGCATCAATTAACAAAATGAATATTTTTAATAGGTAAAAAAAATTTCTCCAGAATTAAAAAATTGAAAAAATAATTTTGTCAGCTATAAATCTTATTGTTGATATTTGACACACTTTTACCTGTCCAATTTATCTGAAAATTTGCATACTTGTGTGTAGTCGGAGGCAATTCATGAATCAACTGACAGAATAAATAATTTCGAAAAAATTTTTATATATTAAAATATTTTGAAAATTGAATTTTTTATATTCGAAAATAAAATTAGAAATTAATTGTACATACGGTATGTAACATTGGATACACTGGATTCCTTAGAAGTGTTGTCCTTAAAAAGTAATTTTTAAACGTATATTATTTAGCTAATGCAATCACAGCGAAATTAGAGTAAACGAAATTTAATTTTTTACTTTTAAGACAATTTTGACCTCACGAAAATAAATTGTTGAAGTGACTAATTAAGTAATTCAACTAAATCCTCCTGAACACAACTCGACAGCACAGCTTTAGGTCAATGTAATTAAAGGCTTTTTGAACGACATTTCCCGCATTTTTCCAACTAAGTATCATTCTCTCTTGGAATAATGTAAATTTGTGTGAAATTTTCGAACCGCAATCATTAAACTACTAGAGCCATCTTAGGAGGGCTTGTTAATGGAAGTTTTGGATGTTTTTTTATTCTTCTGACAAAAAACTTTTGAAAAATTAATCCTCCACTAAACCAAATCCTTCAACAGCAGACCAAGTTCGTGTTATCAATAATTTCTGGTTGGTTTAATTCCTAATCTAGACGTGGAAAAGTTGCAGCCATTAAAGGCTTATGTTGAATTTAAACTCTTTGCATTCCGTCGATGATGCATATCGTCTATGGTGCGCTCATCAACACGCTACTGTTCCTATCTCGAATGCTGGTGAAAATAACGTGCGTAATGGTAATAATAATGGATATCGAAATTGTTAAAATTCAAAAGAAATTCAGCGTTATAGCTCCAGACATCTTCATGAAGCTATAAATGCTCTTTGCACCAATAAATTAAAACTGAGAACTCCTATTATATAAGGAGTATTCCTGTTATCATGATAAACACTTAACTTGTTCAATGCGTGCTGAATGACACCACATTAATCTAATCATCTAAATAACTGTGTTGAACTCTAAACTAGCATTAGCCTTATTAATTAAGAGCTCGTCTAGCACAGCACCACATTCTTCATAATATTTTTGTCTCCCCTCGAGTTAGTATAGAAAAACGTTAGTTGTTAGGATATACTGATTTAAAGTAGGGGAACGTTAATATTTATCGACAATGAGGCTTTTGCATGTTGCACCTGAAATTACAGCGAGAAGTCCTTGATAAATTCAAGTGTATTAGGGATTTTTCGATAGCCCTACACGTTAAGGAAAAGATGGGTTGTGACATCCATACAAAACTTTCTGTTTTATTGAATCTTTTAATAATGACTTGAGTCTTGGGTCTATCTCATATTTTTGTTGGCAGCTAGAATTAAATACTTTCTTTAAAAGTTTACTGGTCTTCGCGAATCATGAATAGAATTAATCGTGAACTGATGAAAACCTTGATGTTTAACTATCTTAGCCAGTGGATGATATTAAATTAGATCCGTAAAATATTAGATCCGTTGTAAACAGTGCATGTTGTACCGATTGCCTTCAACGAAATATCAAGATGAAAGATCAGGTTTACTTGCTCATGTGTATGAGCTAGTGGCGGGCTGGGACTCTATTTAACCATCTAAAATTAAAAGATAAATATATAAATAATTTTTTTATTCTAATTCTTTGAAAGACTATCAATTTTAGTAAAAAAATTATTAGGAACGAAACTTAGCATGCGCAACACTGAAGCTTTAGATGAGCTTCAGTGCTGCTTTCTTCATTGATGTCAGAAAGTTCTAAAAATATTGGGGAAATAAAATTAATTTGTAAGAAACTGAAGCAGATTCCTGTAGTTTCAAACACGTAATAATAAGGCTAATATTAATAAAATCAATAATAATAATCTTACATAGTAAAAAACGTATGACGTGGGGATCCAACTTGTAATACAATTTAACAAAACGTTATCAGAGAAACATGAATTCGAAGTATAATGTCAAGAACTTTTTTCAGGATTGTTGGACAAATTTCTGCAATTTTTATAGCTAACGAAAAATGAAATTTTTACAAATTTTTTAGCTAACAGAAAATGAACATAGAGCTACGGAACTTGGTAAAATGATTCGCTTCAATTGTAAATATATGACATAAACGACTACTTTAGCTAGAATTATTTAATTTTCCGATTTAGAAATGCGCGGTAGTTAATTAGTACATTTATTTCATACCTATATTCAATGATTTTTCAACTAACGTCAGAGCAAAAAACTATACCCCTCATTTATCTTTAACATAATTATTTCAATTATCTTCTTAGTTTGTCTTCTTTGAGCTATCATTTTTCGTATTTAAATGGCCAATTTTAGGTAATTGTTAACTAGTCAATCAATAGATTAAAATCAGATGCCATCGTTGAACATTCCGCCGTTTCTGAAATAGCGAGCTCTAGTCAACGACATGGAACAGGCATAGCAATGAAGTATTGCTTGGCAGATATAGTGACAAAGCCGTCAGTGCAGTTGTCGAACCAATTGACTGGAGCAATGCACTGACTTCACGGCCCGGCAACTGATAACGCAATCTGTAAATGGTTTGAGTAAATCGATATGTTGAGAGTTCCATTTCGCTCCAGAATAGAACTAAATTGTATTTGTTGGGGCTAACCCAAGACACAGTTCATTCTAAATTACTCAAGCTCTTTAGGTTGTTGTGCACATCCAATGGTGTGTATATTTTTGGAATATAAATCAAGAAATGACAAATTTTAATGTTATATTATGATCACCGATGCAATGAACTTCGAAACTTAGATTAAAAAATTATAAACGCATTAAAAGAAAAAATTCGTACTTAAAAGAAGTTAAAGTTATATTAAGCTTTTCCTTCAACTCTCGTTGTGGTTTAGATGGCTTATGTACACATAAATCGGATTGGAGAGTTTTGAAAGATGAAAGGCAGGCTTGATTTTATATTCTTTATTTATCAAGCAGCACATCGGCATATTGAACTCCATAGAAAAATGTAACAAGTGTTTATCAGCGTCGCTATTGTCATACAAATAATGAAACTATTGTAATTTTTATATCTTAATCCAAATTTATATAACAGCTGTGTGGAATATTGCCGTAGACCTCGGCTATTGAAGTAGCCATTTACTTGAATTATTGCCCCCAGGAACTGATATTATAGTGAGGTTTCAGGGAAGATATTGATCATGATTAGAAACTTAATAGAGAATGTTCAAAGACGTGCAACAAGGATAATTCCAGGCTTGAAGGGCATGCAAGTCCTATGAAGAAAGATTGAAGATTATGAAGCTTCCAAGCCTCAGTTATCGACGTCTGCGTGGGGACCTCATCGAAGTATACAAGTATACTCATGGTTTATACAAGGTCCCCGAAGGGTTACTAGAATTTGAAACAAGAACCAACACCAGGGGCCACGGCTATAAGCTAAAAAAATTGCGCTGCAACTTCTCCACGCGACAAAATTTCTTCTCGCTTCGAATCACCGACATGTGGAACAGCCTCCCCGATGACATCGTTGGCGCTCCAAGTATGAACGCGTTCAAGAACAGACTAGATAAAGCTATGGAAAAATATATGTTCAGATTTGAAATGCCTAGCTCCTTATCGAACCCGGTGGAAGACTAGTAGCTACTTCAAACTATCGTCAGTCATGAAAAGATCCGGTCAAATGACACAATTTTAGATCTTCTATGAACAAGGCATGAAAAGGAAAAGAATCGGCGACAGGCCACATCAGGCCTACACTTCAGCGCCGACATCACTATGCTATGCTATGCTATGATTGATATCATGTCATTCATCTAAAACAATATTATGAAGACGTGTTGCTGCTCGGGACGCAATTAAAATTATGCTTTCTTCATCCCTACATCGTGCAGCCAGGCGATTTGTCCCATGAGCCACAGTAAATAAGTATGAATTTTTCTAGAGTATCTTTATTGGCGAGTGAAGCAACACTGAAAATATGTAATAGCTGAGACTTGGGAACAAGTCTGGGACTAAGTTCCAGGCTATTACTGAAACGCCTAAAAACAAATGAACCAAAATATATATGTTGCTTAGAACTATGTTGAATACGAATTAAGTATATAATAGGCAACGTTAAAATCAATCATTAGTTTTTAATATTTGTTCAAAATATACACGCATGACCAAAATGAATGTATCTCGAGAATGTATCTTACTCATCGAGTTCAGTCACGAAACTAAACAAGCTTTACTGATTCGACTATCCGTCAAACTCGCTCGAACATTATATAAAAAGCATAATCAGTTCAATCCCTAACATTGCGAAATCAATACAATGAAATTATTGAACAATTTCGGAGAGAGAATTCGAAATGGAATTCAATCAACCGCGTTATTAACAGACGAGTTCTCACGAGTCGGGTTTTGATGATGGAACTACACGAAGAAGCTTATCACAATTCAGGTGGTGGAATCTCACGATGAATATACAATGTCATGTCAGGTATAGAAAATGCGGCTATAGCTTTGATGAAATCAGCTGCGATAAAGCCGACCTCCGTCACTTACATACACCTGGAGGTGCTCGGGACTTCCCATTAAGATATTACTGAAGAGCTGTTATTAAGGAAAATAGTAACCGTCATAATATGAAGAAAGGGAAAAACGTCAATATTATTGGCTTTATTACTAAGAAAGTAACGGATTTTTTGTAATTATATTTCTGATCTGGCAAATATTATAGGGAATGAGGCTTAAATTGTACTCAAAGTTACAATTGAATATTTGGCATAAATTTTATTGCTTCTTATGGCGTCATTGCTTTATTATACCGATATGTTCTTATTAAATATATTATCCATTATTATTTCAGTTTATATTATCCATTCTTATTCTGCATAGACCAGTACTCAATAAATAATTTATTAGCATGCTCCATAAATTTTCGATGTGGTTCAGATGCGTGTAGTTGGCTTGTCAGTTCATCGCATCGTTCCGATCTTCATAAAAATGAAACGAAATATTCTTGTGTCATGTTTCATTTTCTTTCAGTTTCACCGATTTATTAAGAAATGATTAATCGTATATCCAGGGTAATTAATAAACGAGTCTTAATTACTACTCATACACAAGGCAATTAATAGCTTCCACTATTTTCTAAACCTGGGGGTCGGCTACATGGTCGATATCGACCCTCTGAGGGTAGAGAACAGAACTCGAAGGGTCGATAAATTGATATGGGATGAAAGAGGTTTGTTCAAGGATAGTAAAATGAGTCGATAAGGTTTTCCACGACTTTGCTCAGAAATATGTTTATTGTTGTAAATTTAAAGTTTAGTTAAACTTCAATCTACAAAATTCAAATGGAAAACTATACGTTGAAATATTATGAAGGAAACAAACAAGCTCGAACTCCAAACAAGCTCGAAAATCTATTCAGTTAGTGCAAATTCTGGGCAGCCGAGCATTGATAAATTGCCTTTTATGTTGAAAAAATTTAATCTCTGAACTCAACTTTTTATATATACAACTCAACTTAATGACTCAACTTATACTTACTACTTAAATTTTTTAAATTTAAATTTGTTCATGGCCCAAGTAAAGTTGGCCGAGCTGTTGGTTTTAGGTCGTTGCACTTCTCCAGTTATGACTGAAGATGAGAAGTACAATAACGTATCTTTCGTTAAACGTTGGGATCATTAGTCAGGAGCTGGACCCCACTCTAATCTACTGTCATTAACTTTTTGTTTACATTTTTGCAGGCTGTAATTGTATATCCATTATTACGAGTACGACCATTGTGTAAGATCTTCATAATCAGTGGATTAAGTACTTGCTTACTTGAGTTTTATATGTAGCTATATAGTCTACAGCTACAGCTTGTTGAAGTTTATGATTCCACGGAAGATATTTTTGGTTCAACAAAAATAAATATTCAGCATCACGCGACAAATTAGAAAGGTGCAATAGTCATTCGCGTTATGTCGCAAATCTTCTAACATAAATACAGAAAATCTTCACGACAAAATTGTAGCAACCATTCGAGCTCGAACAATTATCACGGGCTTTCAAGCAGAAATTGAAATATTAAATTGTTCATTGGAGCGTAAAGATATGAAATATTTTTAAAATAGTGAATGCTGGACTAGTCTGAGAACAATTCAGGCAATAACTTGAGATTTATTATGAATATCCGAATAAATTATATGCAAATAGCAAAATAGTTTCCAAGCTCTACAAGGTGTGCCCGAACGGCTTGTTCCTCCATTTGATATGAACACAGTCAATGAAATCAAGGATTATGACTTTGAAGATGAACTTGTCGCAATGGGCGTAGATTAGAAAACTAGAGCGTTGTTAGAACCTGAGGTCCTAGCTGAATATTAGACTCTGTCATTAATACAAATGTCTAATGTATCAAGTGTCCGACAGGAAGAAAGGTTGCCGTCCGTTGTTTCTTAACTGTGTCTACAACTGTGTTTCTCAAAGGCTGCAGGCGAACTGGTCAGATTGCAATTTAAAACTTAGACCTTATTTCACTATAAGAGTCTGAATATATTATATGACTGTGGCCATATTATTTCACAAAAACACGACTTGCCATTTGATTGCAATTTAAATTGATCCAAGGCGAATTTTGATACTCGCCTTGCCCTAAATTTTGATAGAATGTTGAAGATATTATAAATTCTATTCGTATTAAATGACTTGGTGATGAAAGTTGCCGATAGTAATTAAGCAATGAGTTAATAAATTAAGCGAATTATATTAGAAATTATATGGATTTGACATTGTTTCGAAGTCAATTAGAACTGTGGGGGAAACAAATTAAAATTACGACAAAAATAATAATTATATTCGATTAATTGTGTATGTACATATAGTTTGTATTAAAAAAAAATTTACGCCTTTTATATAACCTTATATTATGAATATTGTATGAAAGACTGAAGAAGCAAAAGGAAAAAATCACATTTTGTCAAGGTTTCTAAATTTCAATATTTACGTTTGGTACAAGAAAATAATTACTCAAAAATTTGATTCTTATGACTGCCTCTCAAGCCAATAACGGTGACCACCCTTACTATATATAGCCACCTGGCCTCGACAACACGGCTTACATGGAAGAAAAATAAAAGTTTTCAAACTTGAACGTATTTTGCAGTCGTCGTGGATGAAGAACAAACTCTTGCAGAGTAATGATTACGCCATCATCACACTGCCATGTCCGAACTTGAATGTCTTCTTGACAAATTGATAAGGCAATCTTGCTGATGTTTGCGGCGTAAGGTAATTTGACTGCCATAACATTCAATTTACCGCGTAAACGATACGAAATTTGACTGAATTGTTTGAAATTTGACTGAATTGTTGAAAGTGAATTGTTGAACACATTCGATTCTGCATTACCATTTAAAATCATTAAATTTCTACAAAAATTAATTATTCACATCAACCAGAAAATAATTCTTGAATATTCGAACTAAAACTGGAATTTTTTTCTATTCTTCAAAAGTTGAGAAATTATTAGAGTAATTCAATTATTGCAAAGAATACGCTGCAGCCTTGGGACATTGCGATGTGACTTTGATGAGATATTTTTTTCAAGGAATTCCCAAGATTGTGCCAAGTGCATGACGGTAAGCATGAGAATATAGCGCGTTGCAACAACTTGATAATGATCACTGCTACAATATAAAATGGGTCGCAAACCAGCGAAGTTCATCTGATCGAGATGAAGACTTTCGTACTGTTGAGCGTAATTGCCTTCGCTGCCGTGGTGAGTAGTCGCTAGATCTTGAAATATTATAGCCTCGATCGATAGTTCATATTTGATCGCTGCATTACGTTTTGTTTGCATTTTCTTGCTGACACCTCATTCTCGGATTAAAATTCATTAACAATACATAACGACGAAAGCAAATAAACTTTGATTCTTTATATGCATTTTGTAATTATTAACTCTCAATATAGCGACAAATGTAGTGATCGCACATTTCTTGCCCAGCTCGGCAACCCAGCGGCCAACACCGAGTGGCGCTGGAAGCCCAGGATGCCGACCTTGTCGAGCAATCCTCGCGCTCTGCCCCTGCACAAGTTCGTCGAAAGGCACGTCAGGAAGCCCTTCGTGCCCGGCACCAAGGCTGGTATGTCGAGACATGGTATTAAGTCATATTAAGTGTACGTCAGGAAACCCTTCGTGCCCGGCACCAAGGCTGGTATGTCGAGACATGGTATATTACATAAGTATTGGTGCTGAAGAATAGGCCCTGGGTCGTCATCGATTCTTGTAATTTTCCTGATTTGTTCAAATGAGATCAAAAAAATTGTCGTTCGAGATTTTCTCAGAACTGACGTTGAATTAAATAAATAATAGTTTTCTACCAATTTTCTACCAAGTTCGTGGGGTCCATGTGGAATGCCAGCAGAATTTTAAGCTAATTCTCAGTGATTCGTGCGAAAATGTTGGTATTAGCAAGCCATTTGCATCAATATCTGCATTAAAGAAAGATGACACAAGATTTCGCGGACCCTACATTAACTGAAACTAGAACTGACCATGTTATTCAATAATCTTAATTTTTTATGAAACGCAACTGTTTAACTTAGACATCAGTCGTTCACACTAGAATGATTTGATACGGAAGATGACTTTCCAGGGGCACATGATCTATGTTCAGAAATGCCATTGAATTTTACAAGCGAGAATAGTACGTCCACGATCTATTCAACAAGTATTTCAACACTAATTCCATTTAATTCTTTTCAGTCGCGGGCTGCGGTCCTACAAAGGATGCCTCGCGCATCGTGGGCGGCACAGAGGCGGTGCCTCACTCGTTCCCCTGGCAGGTTGCGCTCTTCATCGACGACGCTTACTTCTGCGGTGGCTCCTTGATCAGCGACGAGTGGGTGCTCACTGCCGGGCACTGCTTGGACGGGTGAGTTTCTCAGTCTTATTTTATCATAGCATGAGAGGTTATCTGGTTGATTAGATTTAAATGCAAATTTTTTATATTGATATTGTATTTCATCATTGATCCCAATTAGTTATTAGTGATCTAATTAGTTAAATGAACCTAAATTCAAAAGGAGGTGAAAAATTCACTTAAGTGCATGTTTCAGCTATCATTTACAAACGCAAACACTACTTTATGTTTAAATTTAAAATCTAAATATAAATTTTAATTAATCCAAAAGATCCCATTGATCCAAGATCTCCAATTTAAAAAGATCTCTAAATAGACCATTAAATTTTCTTCAACAAAGAAGCATAAGAAAGTAAACTTGACTGAAAGCATAGCATTATATTAAATCTGTACGAAAATAGCATTAAATCTGTACGAAATAGTACGGATAGTGAAAGTCAAGTTTTCGGTTAAACATAATTGAACAAAAAGAAAGCAATATCTGGTTTCCAGTAGCACAACGCTCGACGCATTTACGCTCACTGTCATGGGTGTTCTAACGTCAACTTTCTAACTGCATCAGAAAAACTCCTGTATAACTGAAAAAACATAAATTTTACCGATTATTTACTGAATCATTTTTATTCCAAATCTCATAATCTTATGCAGGGAAAGCTTCATAATGGTTCAAGAATCGATAAATCAAAGCCGATAAATTGGAGATATTATGTTCATAAATTCCTGATCTCCTGATCGGGAAGGTTGGGAAACCAAGCAAACTTTCAATTACCATCGTAAAGCTAAATAAGCGTTGGAATATTCGCTGAAGAATGATTTTTAAAGCTAGTTTCAAATAAATAGGATAGAAATTACTCCCGATTCGTTCCAGTTAGGAATGATTAATGAACATAGGACAAACTAGAGCGATTTTGAGTAAAATTGTTAATGTTGATCACATAAACGTTATGAACTTGTTCATTTGAACACGACCGACATAATCTCAACACGTATTATTATAAACTGTGCAGGGCTCAATCGGTTGAAGTGGTTGCAGGCGCTCACAACATCCGAGAAGCCGAACCGTCTCAGGTTCGGAAATATATTTTTCCTTATATATTTATTAGTTCTCAGAAAATTTTCCTATCGTAATAACTTGTACCCTATATCTATTTTGGCCCTAATTTTTTAACAACGACTCTAGATAACTCTTATCGCTTACTTTTAAGTGTATGATTGAAAATGAAATAATATAGTAAATTCTCCAGATGTAACTCCGTAGACGTTTATTAATAAGATCCTTTATGCTTTTTAATTCATTACTGCATGGAACCTGAGTCCTTCTTCGAGTTAAGCAAACTTTCTTAAATCTGACATTAGTGACCCTGCATACATAATTTTATATTTCAATTCTGTAGAATGTCGATATCAAGTTTCGATCCAAAATTAGAATGCTATGAATTTGTTTTCTCGCGTGCAACAGAAATATTCTTATATAGAAATTCTTCCCAATAAGCTAAAAAAAAATTTTTACGCTCAATCTTGCACCATTTTTTTAACTCCAAAGAAGTCATTCAAACAAGCGTAACAACTAGGAAACTTCTCACATTCTTTTTCCCAATTCCACATTTATACAACTAAACTGAAGGAATAACGCTTGATAAATAACGACTTAAATTCAAGTATGGCATCTTAGGTAAAAGTTTACCATAGTGTCTATGCACTTTGAAAAAGCATAAATCCGAAAATTTTCATAAAACTCATGGAGAATTTTTGTGCAGGTAACAATAACATCGACGAACCTGAAGGTGCACGAGGATTATGGCTCCATTCTTCTGAGGAACGATATCGCTATTCTCAAGCTGCCCAGCCCAATCACCTTCAATGGTAAGCGCGATACAATTTTCTGATTTCGACTTGGCTGATCTGAATTTATTAACTTATCAATTAATCGTCGGTTAGAGGGTTGGGCCAGCTATCACTATAAGGATTTGTGCTCACTTGTTATGCTTAAATTCATGTCTAGATTGAACGTTACTTGCAAATGCTTTTAGTTTGAGAAGAAGAGTGCTGTGGGTAAATTTATGAGCTTCTTCATCAGTACATGTTCCGATCTATAATTCTTCATACGACATTTTATTGAAAAAAATTTCCAAGTATTTTTTAAAATAATTATTTATTTTTGCAGAGTTCATTGCCCCCGTGTGCTTGCCTACGAGGAGTGACGCTATCCTGCCAGCGGGTACCAGCGTTACTGCCTCCGGCTGGGGGAAGACCCGAGACAGTGAGTGTGATGAACTGACTTTGGATAAGAAAATTATTCATAACATGGTTTCTTGAAATCAATTGATGTTTTATTGGTACTGCAAGATTTTATTTTTTACGTTTATTAAGGTGAGCTGAATGATAATTCACTTTTTTCATACGCATTCAAAAACCTTCATACAAAACAAAACTTCGCGTTTCTTTATTCGATCTTATCTTGGGTCAATTCTATTAGCTTATCCTTGGAAATTGAATTTCATTTTTATGCAGGTGGGATTTATATTTTCTGCTTCTGATTATAGACATTTTAAAGTGATACTTTCTTCTCCATCTCTCGAAATTCAAAATAATGTAATTCACTTGAGCTTAAAGCAACCTTATTCAAATATTTAGGACTTTTAGGCTTTTCGTCTCGTTCTTTTTTTCTAAAGTTGTCGTTTGAGTAAATTTATGACAAGGTAGAACCTTCTTCCGATAATTCATTTGGAATTCAGAATTAAGAGCATATAAAACAACCAAACAACATAAATATTTATCGTCAAACTAATCTGTTTTAAACCGCGTCATGGTTGAATGTGTGTGCTAAATTGTCTGCAAATGAATACAGACCCGAGTAGAATTTTCACCTGTCGCTAAATTAATACTTATTCATTATGTTACTATACAATACTTACTATACAATACTTCATTTCTTTCTGCGAATTCGCAGATTCATTGAGCATCAGTGACGTGCTGAACGAGTCCACAAACGACGTCATCACCGATAGTGACTGCGAGGTCTACTACGGCTCTACCATCAACGGCGGTGTTGTCTGTACCGACACTACCGGCGGTCACGGCACATGCAATGTAAGTACTTGATTGAAGAACTTCATTGTTGTGCCATTATTGCCATATAAGTCGTCACTTATCAGCTCCCGCTAAGTGACCACCTCGCCGTTCATCAGTAACAATCGTATAATACTGGTCATAATTACGATTTTTAGGGTTCGATTGCTATACAATAATCTGGAAGCTTTTTCGATTGCGCGTATAAGTTGAGGCCCAGTTTTGTTAACAAAGTGCATAGATCCTTTCTTTTGAAGACCGGCGTCTTAAGTGCTGTACTGAAGATCATGCAAAACCTGCCGGTACAAATTTTACGGCTAATGCCTTACTCTGTCTAGAAAGGTTATGAGCAGGCATAACAAAGCCATCGTCTTGATTGTGTGATAAGTAAACACAAGAATTATCTCAAAGAAAAGTTCTTGAATAACAAACCAAGGCGAGTTGCTTAATGAATTCAGTTACTTGATTAAATAACTTACAAATAATTTGGATCGAAGGAATATGTTCAAATACATCATGCGGAATTTTTTTCGTAGTACCATAGGCACTAGTATCTGTAGTTATTAAAATATTTCCGTTTATGAGTATTGACGATTCTCTGACAAATTTCTAAAAAAGTTGGCACAAATCGAATGCTAAAATTTTTCACAATTTTTGAGTCGGGTGATTTGAATCTCGATAGGGATTACATAATTACAATTTCTTTAAACCCATTGTTGCCATGGAGCATTCTCTGTTTCATATCAATTGAATTGCGTTCCCCCGTAGGGTGACTCCGGCGGACCCCTGAACTACCGCACCGGAGGCGTGACTGTGACCCGAGGCGTCACTTCTTTCGTGTCCAGCTCAGGATGCGCTGCTGGTCTCCCTGACGGCTTCACGCGCGTCATTTACCACCTTGACTGGATCGAAACCAACACCGGCATTATCATCGACAATTAAACACAATTGTCGCTCTAATAAAGCCGTAACAACTAACTACGTTTTGTTTTGTGGTCACTTTTTTAAGCACATGGATTGTTTTCATTAAGAAAAAGGGTACTATAGATCAAACAAGACGAACCATCTTTAACGCTTAACTTGAACGCTTCATCTCTTATCAAAGAGAAACATCGAAGGCGGAAATTTTCTATTTTGCTACTGAAATTCTAATCGTCATGATCAAGACAATCCGCCTTTCGTTTATTAAAGGCGCCGAGTGTCTTGAATTGCTCAGTATTGATACCAACATCGCATAGACGTAACTTAATTTTCTCCAATTAAATTTTAGCGGAATTTTTTTATGTGCTAGTTGTCCAAGAATGCTAACGAAATTCATTTCAAAGCAAAAGACATCTCTGCGAGGAATCAATATTTCATCATGCACTCCATATATCAAATTATTGATAAATAATGCAATCTATAATTGACTTTATATCCTATTCCAAATGAAGTTTATTCTCGCTCAAGAAAGTATAGAAAAAATACGTGCCAAATTTCTACATGACTAACTGATCATGTACATTATCTAAATTCAAGTTAATTTAGGTATATCTCAGCGTATCAAGATTTTAGTTCGTTCCTAATTAAAAATGTTAAAAGAAATGTCAAAATAGTTTTTTAGTTTAATCCGAGATAAAGCTGAAAACTTAACTGGGATTCTGTTGCACAACATTGCCTTTGATTTTTTTTAATTCATTGGATAGAGCTTGTAGAGAGCATGGTATATTTTATAGTACACATTCAAAAACTAAAGACAGAAACAAGTCTGATGATATCCTAACGAAGAAAGCGGCTGAAATTGCGATAGATCCTAATAAGCCTGAATATGTTAGAACGGATGCATAATTAGTTGATGCTATAATGGCTGAAAAAAGTTATGTAGGTCTTGGAGTATCAAAAACGTAAAAGTCCACTCACAGAAGTGAGTGGTAAAATTCTAAATTAAATATATTACGATCCTAAAACCGGCTATCGTGGGAACAAATGAACTCGGTCGTAGGAGTGGTTTATCTCGAAAGCAAGTCACGAATTGGATGGAGTCACAGGAAACATACATTCTACATGAACCAATAAAATATAATTTTACCACAAGAAGAGTTATCTAGTTTATCTAGTTGGCGTGCAGAAGTATACAGATAAAGGTAAAAACTACATTCTAACTGTGATTGACATATTTAGCAAACCTGAATGGGAAGTTCCAATAGGTAGAAAAACTGGTGGAGAGATTTAAACTTCTTTCCAAAAGCTTTTCACTGAACGAATTCCCTCAAAAATTCAAACAGACAAAGGCCTAGAGTTCATTAACAAGCACATACAAGAGTTATTCAAAAAGTTTGAAATTCAACGGCTTACAACTGAAAATGAAACTAAAGCTCAAAAACTCTCAGTCAAAAATGGGGAAATATTAAAAAAATGAGTAGATATTTTACCAGATTTAGTCGATAATTATAACAATAGTTATCGTAGATCAATAAAAACGACTCCTCGCGAAGCTTCAATGAAACAGAACAGTAAAATAGTCTATGCAAATTTATTCGCCGAGATAAAGACGGCGATATAGTAGCGATATTTATGAAATTGATAAAATTTTGAAAAAGAGTAGAGGAAAATTGTTTGTCAAATGGAAAGGATATGATGACCTATCTTGGATTCCAGAAGCTGAACTAACATTACGTTGAACTGACATTAAGTTAGACACACATTAAGTTCAAAATGAACAAACATTGAGTTTAAGTTATATGAGATATTTTACTTGATAAAATGGCGTTAATTGATATACAAACAAAACAAGATTTAATAAATTTAAAGAGAGACTTGAGAAAACAATTCACACAAGAAAAATTTATGGAACAAGATTTATGCATTGATGCTTAAAAATTATATAAACAGCTGATTGAACCTCGCACCAAAATGGTGGAAGAAACTAAACAAATAAGGATAGCTCTGACAAACAAGGGGGGCAAGCAAGGATAGCTCCCAGAGAATTATTAACAGTCAAACCTGATGAAAGATTGGCATTAGATCCTCCAGATTCAAAATAAAGGACCCGACTCAAAAGGACTAGTTGGTTCAATAGCTAAAACTTCTTTAAGTCTTACTTTCAAACATGGATCAGAGTAGGACAAAGCTTATGGCATGAAATTTGGTGGAAAAAATGTCATGCTAGGAGATACGATTGTTATAGCATCCAAGTTAATGATTTAGGGATTGGTAATGAAGTTTTTGAAGGAACTGTTAGATTATGGGAGCTATTAACATAACAAGCTCCCGAAAACTTCAGTGAAATAATGGTAAAAATTATGTGCGACTTATAAGACAGACAGAGGTTTATCTCAGGTCGGATGGAACAATAAAAGCAAACAGAGGAGATAAATACTGCATCAATACTACAAATTCATCAGACCACTTTATAAACAACACAGAAAGAGAAGTTGCTAGTCATGAGAAGGTCAGTCATGAAGTTGCTAGAATTCGAGCAGCAAGTCCCGCATCGTCTAGGGCAGTGGTTCCCAAAGTGGGCGATATCGCCCCCCTAGGGGCGGTGGAGAGATTTTGGGGGACGGTAAGGAAGAAGAGGGCGTTTGGGGGGCGGTAGTCCGAAACCGAAGATAGAAGTTCGAGCGTTCGTTTGACGATTTGTACACAACACGTGCAGCACATCATGACTCCCAGCGATGGTTTTTTTTCACCCAGATCTGTTTTATTAACCTCTCCTGGTTTACGTCTTGGACAAATTAACGGCCGGACTCGCGGCCGATCTCACGGCCAATTTCCAATGCAATGTTCAAGTAATATCTCTCAAACTAATGAACTTAACTTGATGAAACGTGGTACACGTATTCATTAGGACCAAAGGGTAATGTTAAGATCGTGAAGTTTTTAATAATTTTGCCTTCATTTATTTTTGCCATAGTTATATGGCAAATTGGCAATACGGGCCGAAATTCACAGTACCGGGTAATCAAGAAATTTTTTCCAAACTATTGAGCAGATTCGAACGAAATTTCGAATTTACAGTCCTAACTACCGAACGTTAATGTTTAGCTCATGAAAATTTATTCGATTGTGCCTTTGTTCGCGAGTTTTTTTTCGTTTCACCTTCATTCGTGATTTAAACAGCAATACGTGCTTACATTCGCAGTAATCAAGAAATTCCTTCCAAAACTACTGAATGGATTTGAACGAAACTTAGTATTTAAATACCTAACCTCAGCAACGGTGATGTTTAGCTCGCTACAATTTTTTCGTTTTGCCTTCGTTTGAGAGTTATACGGATATACGTAAACGGCTCTTGGTTAAACCGGCCGGTAGAAAAGCCGGTCGTTCCTCTTATATCTGTATAACTCGCAAACGAAAACAAAATAGAAAAATTGCCGCGAGATAAACATCACAGTTGACAGGTTAGGTATTTACATATATACAAAGTTTCGTTGAAATCTGTTCAGTAGTTTAGAAGAAATTTCTTGATCGCCGCGAATTTAAGCGACAAATTATCCGGCGATACGGGCCGAATATAAGGAAGTGTGAAATCAAGAATGACTGTGAAATGAAAAAAAACTCGCAAACGAAGGTAAAATCGAAAATTTTTAAAAGCCAAAAAAATCAACGCTTGGTAGTTAGGAATGTATATTCAAAATTTCGTTCAAATCTGTTCAGTAGTTTGGAAGAAATTCTTTGATCACTGCGAATTTTGGCCTTTATCGCAATATAACTCACGAATGAAGGTGAAATTTAAAAATTTTTTTACGAGCTAAAAATCAACGTTAGTTTCTGATGAATATGTGTTTCAAGTTTCCTTTAGCTGCGTTCATTAGTTTGGGAGATATTACTTGATAATTGAATTTGGAGATTGGTCGTGAGACTGGCCACGAGTCCGGCCGTGAATTTGCCCGAGACGTCCTAGGTTTCTAGTGCTGAAAAAGTTAAAACAGCTTAAAAACATATTAGTTCACTAAATGGGGTTCTATTTGTGAAATACACATTTGTGTTTAACATTTATCTATTAAAATTGCAGCGTACTAAATTTCAAGAAAGAGGCGTATGATTTTATATGTGTCTGTGGGGGCGCTAGAAGTTCATTAGGGAGCCAAAGGGGGCGCCAGCCTGAAAAAGTTTGGGAGCCACTGGTCTGGGAATTCAACTTCGGATACTGATTCAGACGTTTCAGGATCAGGAAGAAATGTTATACCCTTTAACGTTAATGGTGATATTGTTGCAAAACATCGCTTATTATTTGGCTCTCTGAATGCTGGAAACACGGGAGTTTTCAATGAATTGCATGCACCCACTCATGAACCTTAAAAACGTAATTTATTTAATGATCAAGATGTTAAACTACTGAATGATTTTTGTTTCAGAAATGGAATTGCAACGCATAGTTATTACCGAAAGAAAAAGCGATATTACCGGTAGAAAAAACAACGAGAAGGTTATGATTGAGAACAAAAAAGATCGCGCGGAAAAAGATCTTGAAGTTTGTGTCGACAATTGGAGCTAAAATTTTCTAGGCATATTGAAAAGCAAGTTAATAAATCCAATAAACTGCTTGAGCTCATCAGACGCTCCTACAAGTACCTAGATATAAAAATGATGAAGCTGTTGTTCACCCCTGCCGTGCGCCCGATCCTAGAGTTTGGAAACGTTGTGTGGTCACCGAGATTTGAAAAGGACAAAAATTTAGTTGAGAGTGTTCAAAGACGTGCAACAAGGATAAATCCAGGCTTAAAGGGCAAGTCATATTAAGAAAGATTGCAGATTATGAATCTTCCCAGTCACCGATATTGTCGCCTGCGTGGTGACCTCATCGAAGTATACAAGTATGCTCATGGTTTGTACAAGGTCCCAGAAGGATTACTAGAATTTGAAACAAGAACCAACACCAGGGGCCACAGCAATAAACTAAAAAAACTAAAAAACTGCGTGCAACTTATCCATGCGACAACATTTCTTCACGCTTCGAGTCACCGACATGTGGAACAGCCTCCCTGAAGATATAGT